GATGCTTTCCTAAAAAGAATGCATGTGTGACTGTATCCAGTGTTTCGTTCTTTAGCTATTAAAAACTGCTAGATGATAGATAGTTCTATCTGTGTTGATTGTGGAGCTTTTGACAGCAAGTAATAGAAAATCCTCAGCAAGGAAAGCTCACACAACTGAAAATCCAGCATTAGGACGAGCTCTATGTGTGATAATATCATAAGCTAAGACTTATGTTATTTTCATCTCAGACCTCTCCCTTTCAGGACTGATGAAGTCAATCATCTGCTGTAGTGTTCAAGCCTCACAGAAGAGCAAGAAACCATTCCCAAGGCATGAGTTCTCTCTTTTATGTGTATTTTTATGGACCAATAATAGTTATCAGCGGAATGTCTTATGCTAATTGGCTTAAACAGATCCCCGCCTCCCTTCAGATAAGTTAGACATCAGAAAAAAACTGTAATAATGTTATAAGTAGGAAGAGGAAAATGGATATGAGTAAGTGACCAGTTTTCCACTAAACCATCTCGTTTACTTACTTAACAACCAAGTCTTCCTGAATGGGCAAATTGGGTTTAGAGGAGCAATTCCTCTCATAATTTACTCAAACTTTTGAGAAAATTATTGCTAGAACATAAGTAGTCAGATGTTCAGTTTTCATAGAATAAGACAATTATATTCAGAGAACTGTTCTGCGAAGAGTAGTCATTATGGAGATTCTGAGAGAGATAACTTAAATCTGGATACATTCACCTGCAAGTACCAGAATCCCAGCTACAGTGGTTTAAGGAATAAATATATCTCCTATTTTTAAGTCTGGAGGTTGAAATTTCCAGGTTTGAGACAATGACTTAGTGACACTTTCAAGGACAGAGGCTTGTTCTGTTTTTCTGTTCTTTATCCTTCTCGTCCTTAGGCATATCATATCTCATGGCTATGGTAGCTTCAAGCATTATCACACAACTGTATGCAAGCCAGGATTAAAGGTAGCAGACCTCCTGGCTGTTTTTGTCAGGGATTATACTTTTCCCAGAGGCTCCCACACACACTTTCTCATATCTCATTGGCTCCATGCCCACTTAAATCTCTTGTCATCGATGGGAATGGGATCTGGTGCTTGGCTTCGGCTAGTCTTATTTCAGGCCCTGGCAACTGGGGGAGAAGCTTACCTTCCTTACCATATTGCCAAAGCAAAACGAGAGTTCCCAAACTAAGGCTGCTGTAAGATAGGCAACCAGTAATGTCTGCCTAAGGCCAACTTGGCAATCTGTGTCCAAAGCCCCTGTTCTATTTTAATATCTATAGTAAGAAAACATCATTCTCAAACTCAGTGTTTCTCAAATTATGTGTGGTGAAGAACCAGCTTTAATTTTTTCCAATTCACAGACCGATACTAGAAAAATGGAAAATAGATACATACACATACACACAAACACATACACATACATATTTTAAAAATGTACATAATACAAGCCCCAAAAGTTTTTATTAAATTTAAAGGCCTTACATTTCACTTTCAGATGGCTATAAAAATGTCTAAATACTCTTAATTTCTGCCCTTATCTCATCAAGGACCAGTAACAGTTCACAGACCAGTATGGTTCATGAAGATACTTGGCAAGGCACTGTTTAGCCAGCTGACTTCATAATCTGACCCCGGCCTGCCTCTCCTGCCTCATATCTTATTGCTCCCTTTGATTCTCCTACAACAAGCTGTTCTGTTACCAGAATATGCCATATATTTTCGTTTTACTTCTGGACTTGACTTCACATTCTATTCTCCTTTCCTGGAATGCCCTCCCCCAGCTGGGGAACACCTACTCATCTTTTTAGACCAGTTTAAATGTTACCTTCTCTGCAATGTTTTTCCTGAATTCTTTGCCCCTCCATCAGTGCTTCCTTTGAATTCCGAGTATACTTATTTTATTGGATTACGGTTATTTCTGGGTCAGCCTTCCTCATAAGATCAAAAGTTCCTTGAAGGTGATAATTGTCTTGCTCATCTTTATATCCTCTGTTCTTGGAGCACATACTTTGCCCTAAATAAATGCTTATTGAATTGAATCGACTCAACAAATGAGACCTCTGTTTCTTTCCTTTTATTCTTTCCCAAGTATTTTCGACTGTGCTTCTGCCTGCATGTTTGTGAATTTTCTTATAAGAACATACCATTTTGACACACAAATTTTTTTTCCCTCCTCTGTCAAGTCTGGATTTAAAAACAAGATTTAGCTTTCCATTGTTGTATTCCCATCATAGGTTCTGTCCTACAAACATCAATGTCACTAGCACTGCAGACAGCATGTGGCATTTATGAACGCATGATGCCACCCCAGCGGTGTGCTCAAATCCCCTGTAGCAATAAGTGAACTTGTATATGGATACATATAAACTTCTAAAAGTACATAGCAAGGTGGTGTGGCACAGAAAATTTAGGGTCAAAATGACCTAGGCTTTAGTTCTTATTCACATACTAGCTCTATGATTTTGGGCAAGATCCTTAACCTCTCTGAGCCTGTTTCATCTATTAAAAATAAAAAACTATGAGAGGATGACATGAAGAAATAATTGCTTGATAAATGTGAATATTCTCTGCTCAGATGAGCACATGTATGGACTGACAAAGAAAGCAGGCTGAGAACAGTAGTCAGTGGATCTGCCTGTCTCTTTAAAGGGTCAAGGCCAGCCCATTCTGCAGGCTTGCTGAGAAAGATGACCTGCTTTGAAATTCTATCTTGGGCAAAGCCTTGGTTGCTCCTCTGTTCCTGTGCTTCTGATTTCCTTGCTCATAGCTGGCAGGAACAGCTACATTGGCAGCACAAGGGGTGCATGACTAAGGTTGAGGGATGAGCAGCTGCTGCTTGTTAAAGTGGGTGGTTTGTCTGGGAGGCAAGCAGGTGACATAAAAGCAGCATATGGAAATCCCCAAACTCCACTGCTGAGATGACATCACAGATCCAAACCACCATTGTGAAGGAGGCTCCGGGGGAGGTCTTTCCTTCTCTAGGCACTCTCCAGCTCTTTTCTTTTATCACTGATTTTACCCCCATCTTAACTTTAGAAAGGAGGCGATAAGGTGCACATTTGTTGATTTTAATTAAATAAGAAAAAAATTGGCTTCCTTCAACATGTCATGCATTTTCACTCCCTTGTCCCTCACTTCTGCTATTCTCACCACTAGACATGCTCTTCTCTCACTGCCTACATGGATGATTCAACCCCTACACCTCTGATCAAATGTTAGCTCTTACATCTTCCTTCCTCTATGTCATCCTCCCTTCTGGGCTGCCGCCTCTCTTTAAATTTAACCCAGTCTACGGCCATGCTACCCTGAACACGCCCGATCCCATCTGATCTCGGAAGCTAAGCAAGGTCAGTCCTGGTTAGTACTTGGATAGGAGACCACCTAGGAAGACCAGGTGCTGTAGGCATAAAAAAATAGTAATAATAAACAAACAAACAAACAAGCAAACAAATAAATAAATAAACTTAACCCAGTTGTCATGCATCACACACTAAACTACCCTTGGTTGTTTTTGTTTTGTTTTGTTTTTGTTTTGGCATATTTTTCCCTTGATAGAGTGAAAGCTCTTGGGAATCTGATTCTCTAGGAGATTGGCTCATAGTAGGCACTCAATAAATATTTGTTGAGTTGAAAACCGCTACTCAGCATATTTGACAGTTTCTAATTTCTCACTAAGTATGACTAGGTTATTAGTATAATAAACGTCTCTATGGATTGAGCACTTGAATAGTTCTGGAAGATTAGTGGGTATCCCCTTTTTGTACATCAGAGGCAAGAAGAGTAGTGGTAGTAAGTGCTGACCAGCAGCAAGGAAAAAAATCCAGGGGTCATTTGGAAGCCAGAGGGACATTTCTTAGTTTAATATTTGCATATTTCAGATTTATTTCCTTATGACTCAAAGTAGACTAAGGTTCATCAAAAAGTTTTTTGGATGTCATCATACTTCCTGGTGAGAGTATGGGGTTGGGAGTCATGGCTCTAGTCTTGTATTTCCACTTCCTGTGCAAACTATGTGGGACATAGCAGTAAATCTTGGGTTTAAATCCTGACTCTGCCACTTACACTACCTATGGGAACTTGTTACCTCTCTGAGCCTCAGTTTTTTCCAGATCTAGGAGGAGGATAATATTTATTTGGAAGGGTTGTTGTGATAACTAAATAAGAGGTATGTGAAGTACCTATTCTAGGTCTGGCACTCTGTGAGTGTTATTATACTTTGCAAAAAAATGAGGTGGATAGGGTAATGATCTGCTCAATGGATGACCATTGCATTGACTATTAATAGATCCAGATATATGCAGGAGAAAGTCAGCTTAGAATTCAAAAAGCTGCTTTGCATTGCTATTTTTTTAATAGATGCCAAATAAATGCCTAGTGATATTTACAATATGACTTAATAAAGGCCTTCAAGGGATTTTCCAGTTCTCACTGTTAGGATTTTTTCTGGTAATAGTCCCATACTTTCCTACCTGAGGACAGCCCCCGGCCAGTGTCCGCGCTCACTTTTCCTTTCGCCCCCTGCGCCCCCACCTCTTTGCCCTGAGGACTTATCTTGTCCTCTGAGGAGTTATGTTAAGTGCTCTGCCAGCCTGCCTGTGTGCCTGGCCTGTTTTTCCTCACTGCCAGCACCTCTTGGATTCCAATTCCAAACATGGTATCCATCTGGGGTCACTCTTTCTTCCGGTGCCAAGAAAGATGCATTCCAAATAGAACACGAGTGTGCCTCCCATGCTGGGCTCTCCTCACTCTGTCTGGGGACAACAGAGAGCAGAATGTGGCCCCTTTGTTGTCCCTCACTGCTGAAGTTCTCAGGCCCACAGTCCTATCTTCTCCTCGGAACACTTTAGGTTTTCTGCTAAGAGCCAAAAGTGAAGACTGTCCTAAGAAACCTGGGGCCAAGGAAGCTAGCCAGAGCTCTGTGGAGAGGGCCAGAGCCTTGCTGAGAGGGAGAGGGAAAAAAGTTTTTAAATTCTCCATGAAGTGTACCATGTTCTGCCATTCATTCCCAAAGCTACCAGAAGCATTCCTCCCAGGAAAGGTAGAGTTGGTGGTGAAAAGCCGGAGGTGAGAAGACATCTGGAAGGACAGACTAATTCATTTTCTGAATTTCCTATGTGGGGACAGTCTTAGAGCCTGGCAAGGCTTTGAGACAGCCTGAAGATGAGTGCCAACAGCAGCACGGTGGGCCAGCTCCTCTGGCAGGGACCGGTGTGCACTGGCTGGAAGCAGGACCTGGAAGGGGCTGTCTACCATCTCGCTAACTGCTTCTTGCTCCTGGGCTTTATGGGGGGTAGTGGGATGTATGGATGCTTCTACCTCTTTGGCTTTCTGGGCACGGGCTACCTGTGCTGTGTGCTGTGGGGCTGGTTCAATGCCTGTGGCCTGGACATTGTCCTCTGGAGCTTCCTGCTGGCAACAGCCTGCCTCCTCCAGCTGGCACATCTGGTATACCGCCTGCGTGAGGACACCCTCCCAGAGGAGTTCGATCTCCTCTACAAGACGCTGTGCCTACCCCTGCAGGTGCCCTTGCAGGCGTACAAGAAGATTGTTCACTGCTGTGAGGAGCAAGTCTTGACTCTAGCCACTGATCAGACCTACGCTGTGGAAGGCGAGACGCCCATCAACCGCCTGTCCCTGCTGCTCTCTGGCCGGTAAGCTACTTTGTCGCTGCTCAGCATTTCTTCCCCCTGCCCACGCTTCTCATTTCCCAGTGAGTATTTTTCCATTTCGTGTCCCCTTCCATTGAGGGGAGGATGTGGCAAGTCAACCAAACCAAAATAGATTTTTCTAAGCATAGGTCTGCTTCCTCTTTCTTAGTGTATTCCCAGAGGAAACTAGATCATGAGGCATCTTAGTTGACAGGAAGGATTGTGTATGCACTTGCTGCTGGAGGTATGGGGTGAATGCTTCTTGAGCCCAGATCTATTTCGTGTCCCCTTCCATTGAGGGGAGGATGTGGCAAGTCAACCAAACCAAAATAGATTTTTCTAAGCATAGGTCTGCTTCCTCTTTCTTAGTGTATTCCCAGAGGAAACTAGATCATGAGGCATCTTAGTTGACAGGAAGGATTGTGTATGCACTTGCTGCTGGAGGTATGGGGTGAATGCTTCTTGACCCCAGGTCTGAAATGACCACACACACACACACACACATGCACACGCACACGCACACGCACACGCACATGCACAGCAGCAGCAGCAGCAGCAGCAGCATGTCATGATTAAGCTGCAGCAATAGCTCTGTAAGCTTTGGAAAACAATATTTCAATAAGATTAATTTGTTTAACATTTGCTAAGTGCCAACTATGTGCAGGGACCAGTGATAAAACTGAAAGAATACCCTTTGTCCACTTTTCCATTCCCAGTGGTTCTATTGAGTTTCTTAAGGCCAAAAGTCAGATACTATAAATCTGAGGGCCAGACAGTGAGAGAAGAGTATTGATGCCCACACATGTCTTATTGAGGATTTAGCGAAGCCACCTGGCTGACTCCTTTTAAGAAGTCTGACAGTAAGACATGAACAGAAATGGTCTTAGGATCAGTGTAAGCCCAATCAGTCTGCATGGAGTGCTGGCCAGTATCTTCTGAACAAATATCATGGGCTCTGTGCTGCCCTTTTGGTAGAGAATTGTGGATTCTTTGAAATATCACGTTAGTGGGACCTGATGTAGGGCTGAGCAACAAACAGAACCATCTTAACCTGATGTACTTAGGCTGGCTCTATGGAAAGCAAACAAAGTATTTCAAAAGCTTTGTCTTCAATTTCCTCCCTTGCTTTCTTGAGACCAAAAGAATGTAGTACAAAAAATAAGACAGTGATCAAAAGGCTCTGATTCCAAAGGGGAAAAAAGCCAAAACCAGATAAAACTGCAGAGGAAAAAAAATGTTTGACAACGATGATGGTACTACAACTACTATTAGTAGTAAAAGGCATTTATGTATTAAGGTATAGAATTGACAGTGTTATGTATACATGTTTTTATTTTTTTGGGCTCAGAGGTCCTAGGTTAAAAGAGATATAATGTTTGTAGGGAGAAGTTTTATTTTATTATGAGTGATTTGAAGTGTAAAATCATGCAATTATTTGTAAACAAATACACATGTAAATATAAATATATTATGACTGTTCCAACATGTTTGCTACTTATATTTCTATGCTTAAAATAAAGATAATTTAGGAAATGTGCTCATTCATTAGATCCATAATATTATTTGCTTGCTCCTTCTAGCTCTTCTGTTCAAAGGAGGCAATTGAGAATGGTAGGAGAAACACCCATTCCACTTGTATGGTGCTCATTTATGGAAATATGTTATGATTATTGTATGGTTCAGGTATCTTTTATACGACAGATTTACCATGAACTTGCATAAGACCACTTTCTTATGAAGGGGAGAGGGGCACTTGTTCCCTCAGTGTGACTTTTTCTAGTACACTTAGCTTCAAAAACCCAAGTCAGAAATTAGACCATTCTGATATTTTTTCTTGGTTTTCAAGGTTTGGAGTAAGAGTTTTGTTTTGTTATCTTCCAATGTCATCCTGTCTCAACTTTGCTAAGTTGGAGCTGGGGGAAGAGGCTTCTAGTCTACGACCAGGCTCCAGTTTTAAAGGAGAATCGTTGTACCTTTGGCTGGTTATAGTGAGATACCAAATGCCACAAAACAGCAGACAAAAACTCTGTGCCAGAAAGTGGGCAGCGGGGAGATTCTTGTGCAGCTCTCCTTAACTCACCTGTAGACTCTCACCTGGAGCCCTTTGCTGAAACTTCAGATGTCCTTTTTGTTTTATTCTAATAAAAGCCATCGGTCCCTTTCAAGACTCAGAAAGTGACTTCCTCAAAGTTTATTACCCTGTTAAGTTGTGCTTACTGTTGGAGAGTTTCTCTCATAGATTATTCAAAGCATGAATTCCCACATGTACAGCCTCCTGAGCAGGCAATCAACTGTCTAAACTATTCAATAGGAGGAAATTATTTGTCCATCCAGGAGATCAAGAAGGAAGATGAGACTCAAATGATAAAAGACATAGTATAACAATTTAAATGATTTCAAGGAGCCATGCAGGCTCATTAGATGAGCCTCTAAAATGACACTCCTCAGTGGCTTGCTTGAGTGGCTAGATTCCTTGCTTCTGGAGATGCTGGGAAGATCTAATGTATGCGGCAGCAGGCTCATTCCTTCCTGTTGTCTTCCTTTATTTGAGAAGCTTTTCCTGAGACTTTGATTCCCTTTTATGGTGACACGAATGAGTTAATTTGTTCCACCGTTGGTTCTTTCTTTCCTCCCTCCCTTTCATTCATCCTTCTCACCTTCCAAAAATATTTATTAGGAGTGATAGAGACTAAGGATCCAGTGTTAAAATATATAAAATATTGTCCTCGTACTCATGGAGATTTCAGTCTATCAAGAAAGTCAACAATTAATGTTTGACATAGTGGTGAATAACAGACATAATATTTACAAGGAGAAATGCAAAGTGCTATGAGAACATGTAACTGGTGGATCTGATTTTTCTGGGGAGGTCTGACAAGACTTCCTGGAAGAAGGAATGTTTAAGCAGAGACCTGAGAAGAAGGTGGGGCTTGGAAAGAAGTCCATCTAGAGGGATCAGAATATATTAAGGTATATTCATTTTCACAACAGCACACATTGACTTGCAGCCAGTTATTTATGTGCCTGTGACTTCCATTAAATTGTGAAATTTTTAAAGGCGAGGATCAGATCATACCCATCTCTGCATTTCCAGACCTCCAGGAAAACCGGAGGTACTCTGTGAGGTAGGAGACCAGGGCACTTCATTTCCTCTCATATTCTTTTATTACTCAGGGAAGTTCTGCCTGGCTATCTATATCTATCTATATCTATATCTATATCTAATCTATATCTATATCTATATCTATATCATCTATATCTATATCTTTATCATCTATATCTATATATTATCTGCTTGTAGAAGCAAGTGTGTTTCTGCCGTCAGAGACTATGGGCTAACACCACATCCTTGGCTTGGTTTGAGATCTACATTCCCGTCTGTCTTCCATCTTTATTGTCAGATAATAGGCAATAGCTTATTAATCGATGATGGTTTTCAGGAATTTGTATGCACACATGTATAACTAGGCATTCGTTAGAAGCCAGACTTGGAGTACTAATATCCTATTGGCCAGAACTTAATTACGTGGCTATACCTAGCTGTTGGGGAGGTAGGGAAACGTAGTCTAGCTGGGCAGCCATGAGCTCAGCTAAAACTCTAGTAATATGGAGGAAGGGAAAAAGCAGATATTGGAAAACAGACTGCCACACTGGATTTCCTAGCTGCCCGTTCATGCCCATCCTGATGTGCATCTTGATATTCTGTTCCTCTTTCTAAACAGCTCACATGTCATCTTTGAGAACACTGCCACTTAAAGAGAACTAGTTGCTCTCCCTCCTCCATTCTCCTGTTCCACAATAGCACACATTGACTTGCAGCCAATGACTTGTTCCTGTGACTTCCGCTAAATTGTGAAGGCCTTAAAGGCAAGGATCAGATCACACCAACCTCTGCATTTCCAGGCCTCCAAGAACACAGGAAGTGCTCCAGGCCTATATGTTTAAACAACAGAGCTCCAGAAAAGATGGGACAATAGCTCCTTCCAAATGGACCAGATGTACCTTAGAGATCTTTTTATCTGCTCCCTTCGTCTAACAGAGACACTACCTTTCCTGGTATAACTCACTTTAGAGGAGAAGTTGAAATTAAAACTCTGAGTTTTCTGGGGGAAAGAGGAAAAAGCCCATAGTGGATCCTAACCATTTTCCATTTTTTAATATGTATGTCATTGAACTTTGAAGAGGATTTGGGTAGCCATTCCTCTTTTCCCACGTGGTCTCTTCTCTCCCTTTGCCAGGGTTCGTGTGAGCCAGGATGGGCAATTTCTGCACTACATCTTTCCTTACCAGTTCATGGACTCTCCTGAGTGGGAATCGCTGCAGCCCTCTGAGGAGGGGGTGTTCCAGGTAACAGGGAGCCTCATGGCAGTACCACCCCATCCATCCCTCTGTAACCCAGCAATATCCCCTCTCTCCATCTTTCTTCTCTGATATTCTGTTCTTGAAACCACTGCCAAAATGATGCTAGGGGTGGGAGCACTCTCTTTCTGAAGAAAGAGTATCTGGGCTCTTGGCAGAGGTGAGGTGGGGTACTGACTGTGACAGGTGGTCCATGACACTCTTATGCCTAAAACTCTTCCAGAAGACTCCAGTGACCACAGGATAAAAACCTGCACTCCTTAGAGAGCAACTTAAGACCTTTAGTGATATCCAGTCATATTGCCAGCCCCTCCACCCTTACACTTTTTGCTCATACCAGGAATACTGAACTAGTAGTACCTCTCTAAACACTGTACATTGCCACGCCACTACTGTTCCTTCTATCTGAAATGCATTTTCCCCATCTAGTGAGGCTATGGCATCTCACTTCCTCTGAAGCCTGCCCAGATTGACCTCGCCAGCTCCCATTCCCACAGCTTATTGTTCCTGCTTGGGTGCCTTTTCTGTTCCTTTTACTTGTGCTGACTGGTACACATTTTGCCCTCTGTTCCAATGAGCTGGTTTCCTTTCTGTCTTCTACACAGTTAACTCTCTGTGGTAGAAATCTGGGCTTCTCCTTCTACCTCCAAGCTCCAAAGGACAGTATCTTGAACATAGTAGGTTCTGGCCAAACTTTTTGGCTTAACAGTGGATAGTTGTTGTCTCAGAGGACTTCATGGGGCATTCACCTGCACACTCTAACGTGGGAGCCTGGCTGCTTGGCCCCTTCTCTCTTCCCTGCTAATCCTTCAGACTTTGGTTACCTTCTGAATGGCTGACATGTGGCTAGATGAGGAAACTGAGGCTCAAAAACATCAACATCAAGTAATTTGCCCACAGTCTTCATCTAAATAGTGTCAAAGCCAAGTTGCCTGGATCTACTATTTCTGTTCTTTTTTTTTTTAAATGGGAGGGTTACCGGGAGAGTGAAGTTACACATACACACATGCACACACACACACACATGCACACCACTACAGGGACTCCCTTGTCCAGATAGTTTGCCAGTACTGGGTTCCGTGTGTCTCTTACCACTTCTATCAAGGAGTCTCTCAGGCTAGCATATGAGCCAACCCCAGAATAGACACATGCTAGGCAGTGCCACCTGGCTAAGCCTATTTCCGTCCACGCTGACTTTTGGCTCAATGAGGACAGACTCTGAGAGGCACTGCCAGGACCACCAGCCACAGACCCCTCTTATCAGGTTCCTATCCCCACCACACACACACACACACACACACACACACACACACACACACACACACACACACCTCATCTCCAACCAATCCAGCAGTCTCTTTTGAGAACTCCCCCAGAGCCATAAGAAGCTCCAGGAAGCCTGAGTGAGATCCTGAGCCAGCAGGACCAGGCTCTGTTTCTGACAGTGATACCAAGGAACAGATGGTGGATACGCTGGGTGTCCTCCCCTAAGTTATGCTTAAAATGAAGGGCTACACCCCAGATGACCTCTCAGCCTGGAATATAGGTACTATCATATCCCTCCCATTTATATTTTTAGTGTGCACCTCATTTGGGAGCAATGAGATCCACAAAATTTGCTATTGGCTGTGTAAAGTCTCATTTCCTCTTTGCAAATGTCAAGGGTTGTTCTGAGTTATAGTTTGTCTTGTCCCTGCTTTTTGCAATTACATCTTTGCTGACTAAGAGGGCAATCCAAAGTGACTGCCTGAATCATAATTCTTATTGTGTTTACCAAAAATGAATCTACATTCCATCAAACTTCTCAATTTTACTGGACCCAAGTCCTCTTTACATACGTTATCACATTTAATCCATTCAACCAAACTCAGAAGTGAGAATTAAAGAAAAAGCTGTCAAACATACAGACATGTGCATATGTATATGGGGACCAGTCAATAAACAGGTTTCCTGAAGGTCTTTGGGAAAGGATTTTATATAGGACATGAGAAAGTGACATTAGTTTGTTTAACAACATTCAGGATGGTTAGTCTTCACCTGATTCATTCATTCACTTTAGTAATATTTTTTAAGCACCTACACCAGGTACTGTTAAAAGTGCTTGGAATATACCAGTGAACAGATAAAGGTCTTTGCCTTCATGCAATTTACATTTTAGTAGGGAAGACAAAAAACAAGCCATAGACATAATGAATAAGTAAATTATGTAATATGTTAAAAAAATCATAACTGCTATTTAAAAAAATAGAGTAGTGTAAGGGAGATACAGTTGTAATTTTAAATAGGGTCATGTTGAGCAAGTGACATTTGAGCAAAGACCTGAGGGAGGTGGCAGTGTGAGCTCTGTGAATATTTGGAGAAAAAACATATCAGAGAGAGGGAAGGCCCAGTGGTGGGAGGAGCAAGCATGTTACAGGTACAGAAAGAAGGCCAGTGGATCTGGGACACAGAGAGGGAGGGGAGAGAATAATAGAAGAGCAAGTCAGAGGGATGACAAAGAACCACGTGACATAGGGTCTGAGCATATATGTTCTAAATAGAGCTAAAAGGATTTCCTAATGCATTGGGTATAGTGTGTGAGAGAAGGAAGATCGAGGAAAATTCTAAGGCTTTTGGCCTGAGCAACTAGAAGGATGAAGCTGCTCTCAACTAAAATAAGGAAAGCTGTAGGTAGGGTTGGCTTTGAGGGAAGAGAGGAAGTTCAGTTTGGAATATACTAGATTTGGAATATATTAGATTTAAATTGAGATGCTATGCAAGGAGTTGAATATTTGAATCTGGAATTAAGGAATGAGGCCTATGTTTGAGACATAAATTTGAGAGTTGTTGGCATACAGATGATATTTAAAGCCATTGGGTTGGATGAAATCACCAAGTAAGTGAGTTTAGGCAGAAGGGGTGTTTGAGAACCAAGCCCTGGATTATTGCAATGATTAGAAGTTGGAGAGAAACAGAGGAAACAACAAAGGAACCTGAAAAGGATCAATTGGGAGATTGTACCAGGAGAGTATGGCATCCTGGGAACCAAGTAAAGAAACTGTATTAACGAGAAAGGAGAGGTGAACAGGGTTAAATACCATGAAACTTGACCACTGCAATTAAGAGGCCATTGGTGACCTTACCAGGAACAATGTTTGTGGACTGCTATGGACAATCCTTTATTGGTTTTACAGAGGGTGAGAGGAGAGGATTGGAGACAACAAGTAGAGACAATGTTTTTCATGGAGTTTTGCTGAAATGGAGAGCAAATTAATAGAGTGAGAACTAGCTACAGAACTGAGGTGAAGAAAAAGGATTTTCATTTTTTAATTTTGATTTATTTTAAGATGGAAGAAGTAACAGCATGTCTGTAAGAATGCCCATGGTTTTGTGTTCAGCTCTAAGGATGTTGCTTATGTCCAGATTAGCTCTTATGCACACCCACTGCATGCTCAGTACTCTGACTTCTTATATGGGAATTGTTAGTAAGCACATCTGAAATACAGGCTATGGCAGAGAGTGACAGCCACTTGCTAAACTGTTAATAATGGACAGACTATGAGTACTTCTACTTTCAGAATTCTTTCTCATGAGGTGACATGCTCAAAGAGATAAGTAATTTGTTGTCACACAGCTGGTAAAGGGGGAAAACTGGGACTTTAAACCAGCTTCTGGCTTTGATGAAGTGATTTAAGGTCCTGTCTTCAGTGCTGATGATGAGGTGAAGAGAAGCGAAGAGAAAAAAAATGAGTGAAGAAAATGGAAGAAGGGTACTGGAGAAGGGGATGAAGAGGAGAGGATAGTGGGAGGTCTGGTAGGCAACACAGGAACTAAAAGAGTTGTATAAAATCTCTTAGAATGTTTGTAAAGTCAAGTCTACCTGTAATTATAGATAATCCACATAAAGAACACAATGCCTAGCAATTGAGTCACCTCTCAATAAATATTAGCTGCTGTCATCATCATCATCATCATCATCATCATCATCATCATCAGAAATTCCTAGATGACTAAATCAATGGAGAGTGGAGTGCCCTTCAACTTTGTGTTCTGAAGAGTTCCTCTTCTTGTATGCCTTTTTTTCTGACTTTGGTCATCAGATCTGTCTGGTTACTTGTAGTAGCCAAGTCTAGAGCAACTTAATGGACCTGAATCCTAAGCTTTCCAACTCTTTTTGCACCCCTATCCTTCTGTATTCTTAAAACGAGCTGTTGTCACCATTCTGACCTTTCTTCAGACCACTAGGAAGCCCTTTCTTTCTCTTGAAATCACAGTAAACTCAGACCCGTCTACATCTATTAATGGTATCAGCCACGAGACCATAGACTATGAGAGCTGAGAAGAACAGATGTGGAAACTGAGGCTCCAGGAGGTGAGGACCCAGTGAGTGAAAGGCTGATCCCAGGGCTCCTGACAAGGACACTCATCCCCAATCAGTGCACACAAGTAAAAGCCCTTCACTGTACTTCCTTTACGCAAGGCCATTGGGCAAGGGATGCTCCCATGGCTTCTTCAATAAAAGTCCAGTATTTTCCCAAGTAGCTGTATGTTTCTCCCTGCTAAACATGGACACATTTTCCAATTTAAACCTTCATTCTCTGCTCCTAACCCCTCTCAGGTCACTCTGACTGCCGAGACGGCATGCAGCTACATTTCCTGGCCCCGGAAAAGTCTCTACATTCTTCTGGACAAAGAGCGATACGTCTCCCGCCTCTTCACAGCCCTCCTGGGCTATGACATCTCAGAGAAGCTCTACACTCTCAATGACAAGCTCTTTGCTAAGTTTGGGCTGCGCTTTGACATTCGTCTCCCCAGCCTCTACCACGTCCTGGGTCCTGCTGCCTCCGATGCCGGGCTGGAGTCCGAGAAGGAGGATGAGGAAGTCCATGAGCCAGCTGTGTCCCCTCCTCGGGCCATATCCACATCTGTCCAGCAAACGCTTCCTTGCTCTCCCCCTCCAGCTGCCACCAACCCTCCTGTACCTTCTTCCTGGGCCAGGATGTCCCAGCCCGACAGCGGCATCCTGGGTGAGGACTCCACCAGTCTGGTGTTGGAGGATTTTGAGGAGATGTCAGGATCAGAATCGTTCATGGATTATAGGAGTGATGGGGAGTACATGAGGTGAGGGGAGAGCTAACATGGGCACAGCCACCGGCTCAGGATCCTGTGTAAGTACTCAGAAGGTAGCTACCACACCTTCCTCCCAAAAGGTAGCCTTAACTCAGCTTGCAAGGACAGAAAAAGTGTTTCATGGGGACTGTCCTCTCAGAAGACTTCCAGAAAGTGTCGTTAGCCCAATTTTGCTGATAGAATCACACAACAGGTGCATGCAGGGCATGAGGGGATTTTTAAACTCATTTCTTGTTAATATAATTGCATTTTGGAAAATGGGCTGGTTAACATTTTGAGCCAGCAGATAGGTTGCTAATTTTTTTTTTTTGCAAGACTATACTAATAGCTAAGGCTACAGTTTAAGTTAAAAGGGATTTTATTTGTGGCATGCATATTAAAGGGGAAAAAAAGCTGGCACGATTCTACTTCCTATTGGTTCTCTCTGGCATAGAGTCAGCTCTGGAAAACAGTCGTTATTAAGCCTGGATTGAGGCAGTTATCTGTTAAAGTCACATATTTCAAAGAAGTTTTGATACAGGCTAATAACCCTGGGTGGAAAATGTCCCCACCTTGCTCTCCTCTCGCCCAGTGGGAAGTGTGCTGATGGCGAGGGCAAAGGACTGAATGTTGCTCTGACTGAATGTTACTGTGACCAAATGGGCATACAGTGGCCTGATTTTCCCCACAAAGCACACTTGTGTGAGGTGAACTGGGCACAAATCTGAGTGGACCTAACAGTACATGCAGGATATCCCCCATAGATCAGATGAGTATACAAGAAAGGCTGTACAAAGTGGTTCTGGGAAATAGTTTTCATGTTCCTCTTCACTGCTCTCACAATACTGTCACATTTTTCTCTGGGACTCCACACATCCATGGTGGAGGTCTGGCTTATCCTGAGAAAAATCCCACAGTTTTCAATTTGAAAGGCGTTTCCAAGCAGGAGGTACAGGCCCTAAGAGACCCATTGTTCTTTGGGAAGCAAAGACAAATTTTCCAAGGAACTAGCCCAGTTAGGAACTGTTTCTGGGGTATGTGAAGTGAATGAGTGAATGTTTGCATATTTTGAAACAGAAGTTATGTAAATGATGAAAGAGGCAAGAGAGGTGAATGATAAGAGGTTAGATATTTGGCTTCATAGATATGGAATGTATCATTTTCTGTGGTATCGGTGTCCCTAGAACCATGATTGAGCTGATTCTGGGGCAATTCCAAGGATCTACCTAAAAGCCAAGATCACTTTGTTGACTGCCTCCATCTGCATTGTCCACTCTTATTGCCCCTTTTTCCTTGTGCTGATATTCACCTCCCTATTCATTCAGGCCCCCTCCCCGCCCCAATCCAAGCATAAGGATTACGTCCTGTGGATCCCTCTCTTTCTCCAACTCACCTACCCACGTATATACACTCTTAACGCACAGCAGCTCTCTGTGTTCTCATGTTCTTCCTGGTTTCCTTCTCTTTTCCTGGTTCTATTTGTTCTTTTCTTTCTTCCCTTTTTCTGATTTCTGCTTAGTCCTAGGTTGCCTTAGCTGCTGCTCTTAAAAAGAAAAATGCCCTTTCCTTTTTATTCTCATTTAATTTCCCCTCTTCATATTTGTCCTCTACATCTTCTCCACTTTATTGTCCATGTATTTATCTATTACCTTCTTTTCCTTTTTTTTCTCACTTTCCTGCCTTGCTCTATCTATTCGTCCTCCTAAACAACTCTGTACCCCCAACTTAGTTTTTAATCCAGACCTTCCAAGATCAGTCCCTCTCCCTCAGACTATAAAGAAAACCACTCAAGTGAAAGTGTGAAAATTCCCACCTTTAGGCAGCTACACATGTCATGCATGAGTTTTACCAAACGTTAGTGGGCAGGCAGCATGGTAAACGAGAAAGAGACCCAGACTGGGAGCCCAAAGTCATGGCTTCTGTATCTGGTTCCGCTATATTTTGCAAACCACACAACCTCACTGAAACTCACTTTCTTCATTTGAATGTGTTGGACTGACTGGTCCCCAAAGACCCTTTTGGGTTTATGAGAGAAGGCAAATGATGAGTTGTTCAGAAGAAGAAAGGGGAAGTAGTCGACAGTATAGTGAAACAGGCCCTGGGCACAGGAGTGTCTCTCAACAAGCACCCTCTGCTCTATTTCACTATGGCAGATTTCTCTTGTGACTTAGGACTGTCTTCCTCCCTTCTGGGTAGTGGGCCCTCCTTGATTGACTTGAAGTCCCCTTCATTCTGTACCTGTGATGAGTATATCACTTACCATATGATGACAGCTCAGATGTTCAATATGAAAGGAGGTCACAGTTCAGTCTCTCCACCCTTAATACTCTCATATAAAAGCCCCTTTCCAAATTCAGCCATTTCTGAAGTTCAGGATGAGAAAACCGATAATATTACTCATTTTCTGAAGTACTTGTATTTACAATATAGAGGGAGTAGTTTTTTTTTTTTTAATGTTCATTCGTTTAAACGATAGAAAGAAAAAAACTTATTGTTTACTTCCAAATCACAGTTTTCAGAACAACTTGAAAACATGATGAAATTTGCCAAATTTCAGACACTTTTCAATTTAGTCTGTGATAATGAGATAATTTAAACAAGAGATCCCTTTCTTAAATTGTGTTTTTGCATGTTTGGTTTGACTTATTTGCCATCAAACTCCTGGGGTTATTACTGCAACAATAAGCATAGTCCTTTGTAACAGGTAGCAATTCGTTATTGTTTCCTTTATGGAGGATGGCACAATTCACCACCTATTCCCTGGCTCTTCAGTTACCAAATTGTAAGCTCATTGCTATTCATCCCGGCACAGCAATTAAATAAAAGGCAGAAAGCTGGCTGAATTCTGCATTGTTGAGAATGACACAGCTTCATCACACTGACACCAGTGCTTGTCCCTCACACCAATCCAATTTAACACCAACTAAAAATAGAGCTTCCACTGGAACTCTTTTTCAAAGAGAGTACATTTTTTGATTCTTGCGGTACCCGGAATTAAACCACAAATGGGTGTTACTTCTTTTAACAGACAAAGCGGTGCTGCTGGGTAATGTATCCATGCAGGGTCTTATAGTTAGACCCCACATTAGAATTTTTCCATTTAATTCTACAGACACTCTCTACAATGTTCCTTTTGGTGTCTTACTTATGGGAGCTGTTCAGTGACTGCCTCTCTGCAGTGGTCAGTTAAGTCAGATAATGAGTTCGTTATCACAAATTAATTGAAAGCTGTCTGAAATTTGGCCAATTTTGATTATGTGTTCAATTTGTTCTGAAAACTCTATGGTTTGAAAGTAAAAACGATATATTGTTTTCTTTCTATTATTTAAATAAACAAACAAATAAGAGATTACAATATGGAAGTTAACTGTGGTCAGGGAAAAAGGCCAGAACCAGAACACAGTACCAAGGGCCAGAGAACCAACTCAACAAACATTTACTGAGTATCTACTATATATCTCGGGCACTGTGCTAGATAATCACATCATGAGTAATCATGAGTAACAGTTGAAAGAAATGAAGATTTTTAATCTGCAAGAGATGAGCAAGAGTAATCTTCAAATTTTAAAAAGAGGAGCATTAGAATTAGCCTTAATTTTGTATAGTTCTTGAGGATAGAAATGCATTAAAGGCTGAAAGCTATAAGGAGTATTATTTCAGCTCAGTATTAATAATGGAGTGCCTCATGGAGTAATGAGTTACTGGTCACTGGAGAAGTTTAAACAAGGACCAGAAGAAATCATCTCAGAGATCTTTAAAGGTGATTCAGACTCTGAGAGAAGGATGCCTTAGGCTATGGCAATTAAGGTGCCTTGTAACTCTGTGATGCTATGATTCAATGATTCTGAGATCCGACACTAGTCCTGCCACTCAACCACCATCAAGAGCAATTCCTTATCTACAGAACAGGACTAATAGTCTAATAGATAATTAATAACTACTAATAGGTAGACAGGTAGCCTCTATCTACTTTACCAGGTTGCTATATGGGGAGTAATTAAGATAAAATATATAAAGGCAGTTTGTAACTTGTAAAGCACTAGTTTAATGTATGAGGTATTTACTTTACATGTGTATAAAATTATTTAGCAATCCGTCTCTTTCTCTGTCTGTCTGTCTGTCTCTGAGATACATGATTTCCCCTTTTATTTCCTCCAGTCTGGCTTTAGGTGGCAATTGGCACAATCCCCTGACAACAAAAGGAACAGCAAAAAGGTGTAGGCCCAAAGGAAACACACAATGGCTCCTCAGCCCCTGAATGGCCAGACCTTCATCCGTTTTCCTTTATTTGCTCAGGTGAAGACAAATCACCACCACACTCTGTTTAGGCT